GTTGGGGGGGGGGCTTCCCTGCCAGCCTAGATGGCTGAGGCTGACTGCATGGCTGGTCAGTACGCTCAGCCCCGCACCGCCGCCATCCAGGAAGCCCAGTGGGGGGCCGTCCGGATCCGGGAAGCCCTGCGGGAGAGCTTCCTGGTGGAGGAGGAGGACTGAACTCTCTCTGCATGCTGCACTGGGGCCTTCTTCCACCCTCCCCACTTCCCCTTTTCCCTCCCTAACCTTCCTTCCTAATGTCAAATAAAGACACCTGTTTTGGCAAAAAAAACCTCTCTTTATTTTACATAACTGGGGTGGGGAGAGGGAGGAGTGAGGGTGAGAAAGGGGAGGGGGAAACCTGGGAGGAGGGAGCTGGAAGGGAGTAGAAGAGGAGGAAGGAAAGGGAAAGCTCGCTAAGTTTAGAGGTATCCCGGAAAAACCCTGTAGTGTAGACATAGTCTTAATGTGCAGCAGCAGTCAAAAAAGCAAACAATGCTAAGAATCATTTAAAAAGGGATAGAGAATAAGAAGAATATCTTATTGCTTCTGTATAAATCCCTGGTACACCCACATCTTGAATACTGGGTACAAATGTGGTTGCCTCATCTCAAAAAAGATATATTGGCATTGGAAAAGAATCAGAAAAGGGCCACAAAAATTAGGGGGTTTGGAATGGTTCCCATCTGACAAGAGATTAAAAAGACTGGGACTTCTCAGCTTAGAGAAGAGGAGATTAGAGGGTGATATGATAAAAGTCTATAAAATCATGACTGGTATGGAGAAAGTGAATAAGGAAAAGTTATTTACTTGTTCACATAAGAACTAGGGGTCACCAGATGAATTAATAGGTAGCAGGTTTAAACAATCAAAAGGAAGTTTTTCTTCGTGCAGCACACAGTCCACCTATGGAACGCCTTCCCAGCGGATGTTGTGAAGACCAGGACTTTAACAGAGCTCAAAAAAGAGCTAGATAAATTCATGGAGAATAGGTCCATCAATGGCTATTAGCCAGGATAAGTATGATGTCCCTAGGTTCTGTGTGTCAGAGGCTGGGAATGGTGATAGGACACGCCCCCTGTACACATAAGGGGAGCATGATGGTACTCACATGTGGAGCCCTCCCAGCCTCGGACGACACAGGTGTTGTGCTCTGTGGGGTGCCTTGGTGGTCCTGGGTCCTGGGCAGGCTCCCTGCAGGTTCCTGGCTCTTGGCGTCCTCCTCCTCCTTGTCCGGGACGGGTCCCTCTGCCCCGGGGTCGATCACCACCCGGGGGGCATGGATGGCATGAGCCCCCAGGATGCGGTCCAGAGCCTCAAAGTGGGGGCAGGCCTCCGGGTTGGCCCCTGGCTGGCATGCCCTGGAGTAGGACTGCCACAAGTCCTTTATTTTACAGTGGACCTGCTCCCGGGTCCGCATGTGGCCTCTGGCGGCCAGGCTGTCAGCCATGTGGCTGTAGACAGCCGCGTTCCTGTGGCTAGTGCGGAGATCATGGACATTGGAGGCTTCCCCCCAAACCCAGGTGCAGGGTCTGCTGGCTGGGTGCTGGCAGACTTGCAACTGGCACAAACACTGTAGTCAGACCGTGACCCTTTAAGGGCTCTGGGGACAGGAGGGGGGGCAGAAGAGTTTCCCTGGTGGTGCCCAGAGTGGCCACCAGGGCAAGCTGGGAAGGGCTAGCCTCCCACTAGTTCGAATTAAGTGGCTACACAGTCCTTAATTCTAACTATTTAATTTGAACTAGGTGTTAGTCCTCGTAGAATGAGGTTTACCTAGTTCAAATTAAGCGCTCCGCTAGTTCGAATTAAGTTCGAACTAGCGGTTTGTATGTGTAGCGCCTATCCAAGTTAATTCGAACTAACGGTTGTTAGTTCGAATTAACTTTGTAGTGTAGATATACCCCTACAATGCAGTATGTGAGGTAGAGAGCATAACACTAATAAACAAGTGCTAGTAAAAGAATTCATGCATTGGTGGTGGCTGCCAGAGTACTCAGAGACAGCCTGCCAGAGTACTCAGAGAGAGGCTGCTTCTGGGCTTCGTAGTTGGTTTCAATTTCTTGGTTTCACTTTTAAAATTGCTTGAACAAGTCAGAGCAGTTGTAGAAAAACAGAACTACCAGTGGTTGTATTCTGGATATTTGAAAGATATTAAAGGCAATTGAAGCTAGTGAAAAAAGTGCTTGGAAGTGACCACCTATAAAGAAAGGGACTGAACAAAGGAAAAGTTACAGAAAGCAGAGCAGAGCAAAGAAGATTCATCACCACACTATGACCATTTTTCTCCTCTTTGATTTTGGAACTGTGTTGGAGCCTACAGGGTAAATCACAGGGATGTAGAAATAACGATAATGCATTAGGTAAAGAAATGCCCAGGAGGACAGATTTGCCATGACATGATGGAGACTTCATAGAATGCTCCGCAGCAGCCACTGAGAAACCAGGACTAAAAAGGAAACAAAGTTATAAGTTACATAACCGAGAAGCTGGGGAAACACAAACAAGGAAGGCGAACACAAATTCATCCCCAGATTATTTTAACTGCTTCATAGTCTTTGATCTCATGCCACATGCCAGATCCACAAAAGGTAAGGCTACAACATATTAGCAGAGCCAAGCGCTTATAGCTAAAACACGAACATTATGGCCTTGTCCTTGATCCCTCAAACCATTTAAATGTATGAATTTAAGAACTTTGGTAGCCCTGTTGCCCTTTGTGTGGCTGCTTAAATGCCTCAAGTCACACATGTGCTTAAATGTGCTGCTGGATTAGGGCATAAGACCCAGCTATTACAAGCATGCAGACAGTGTTGTGTTTTTAATGTTTATTTCCTTTCTTATGGAAACTATTTTACCGTAAGCAGAAAAATGATGAAATAAACTCACAGTGATTCTGCTAACCAATAATTGTGTGTCAAGGGATATTGAGAGGGGGAGTCCTGGCTGTTTTGATGGGAATGTATCTTATAAAGTTATTGACATAGAGGCCAGCTGTCATTGGAAAGGGCAGATATGAAAAGCACAAGTGACAGATAGTTGGAAAAGCTGCTTGGAGCTCAAATGTAAACTGCTGTTAGTACCTGAATGCGCTGAGAGAGCCAGATATTTTGATGTATCCAGCATGGCTATGTCTTTTTGAATGGAAATGCAATTAAATGGTTATTAAAATTGATCTGTTGCAATAGGAGGCGTCAGCTCTGTCATTACTGCTGAGGAAACACTGGGCATTTGCAGTTGGCACACCTTCAGATTGATTCTCATATAACTTGGGGGTGGAAGTAGAGTTAAACATTCTTACATCTGATTCTCATTGGTTGCCTCAATGTCAGTGTTGTTTATTCTCTTATGCTGTGCAGGCCTGCTCTGAGATCGCTAGTGTGAATCTGAGCAAGTGCCAAGATGGCTCCAGAAAGGAAAACAGATCAACTGGTTTTCTTCGTGAATGGAAGAAAGGTAAGGGAGAGTCTAACTTTTCGTTCTCTTTGCTCTTGGATCCTGGCTGTGTTAATCAGTCCTTCTATCGTAGCCTTTTCCACTGAAGTTTTCTAAGAGAGAAGCAGCAGTACCAATATCATTTAAAGTTGGGTATATAAGCTCTATGGATGGAAATTCTGTGCTTGTGTAGCAGTTGGAGTAAACTACTGACCACCTGACCAAGGAGGTAATTGGGATTATGAAATGCTCAGGAGGATTAGAGAGGCTACATAAATTCCCCTGCATACAAAATTATGTTTACAATTGCTCCTATCATCAAAAAAGAAATTTTTGAGACATTGTGGCTAGTTCTCTGAAAACATCCTCTCAGTGGAGAGGTTGAGGTTTAGGGGTTTTGTCTGTAAATAGGTGACAGGAGAGGGATCACGCGAGGGCATGAGAAGCAGTAATCAAACAAGCAAACACCGTTAGGAGAGAGGGTTAGATAATAAGAGACACAAGATCATAATGCCACTATACAAATGCATGGTATGTGGCCACATCTTGAAAACTGCATACAGTTCTGGTTGACCCATCTCATTAGAGACATATAGGATTGGAAGAGATATAGAGAAGGGAAACAAAAATGATTAGGTGTATGAAGCAGCTTCCGTATGGGTACAGGTTAGGAATACTGGGATTGGCCATCTAACCCCCTTTAATAATCTCTTCTTGAGAGGTCTATCAAATCATAATGGTGTTGGGAGAGTGCATAGGGAAGTGTTATTTACCCCTTTACATGATGCAAGAACTTCAGGTCATCTCATAAAATTAATTTGCAGCAGTTTTAAGACAAACATAAAGACGTACTTCTTTATCCTGCGTTCCATCAAGCTGAGGATTTTATAAGGGAATGTGAAAGTCGAAAGTATAACTGTGTTAAAAAGACATCGCTGCACTTTGAATGCATTTCTTAGAAAGTTACTTTATCATAAAAGTAAAATTGTGCACTAATTATATGTAATTATTTGAGAAACCATTTCAACAGACAAAGCAGACCTGAAAAATGCTGCTGGGGGGAAGCTTTCTAACTTTCTATCAGAGGCAGCAGTGTAGGTGAGGACAGGGGAGGCTGCCGCGAAGTAGCTTCTGTCTGTGGCAGCTCAGGCCCGCTGTGAACAGAGGCAGGTTTGTGGTAGCAGCCCTTGTCCATGGGGGGTCTGAGCTCCCACGAACGGAGGTTGCTGCCATGGACAAGCCTCTGTCCATGGGGAGCTTGGACACCCATGGACAGGGGCTGCTGCCACCCTGAGTTGCTGCTTCTGTATATAGGCAGCAGTGTGGGGTGCATAGGCAACTGGTCTGCGTGGGGAGTTGGTTGTTAAACTGACTCCCCTGATGGACCGGCTCCCACCTGCCATTCTGCGCTGCTGCCTCTGTTACAGAAGCAGCAGCGTACGGTGACAGGGGGCTGCCTGGAAGTGGAGCCAGGAGTGCACTGGCTGCCGGCCCTGCCCCCGGGGGCTATTGAATAGTTATGTAAGCACTCAGATTTCATGTGGTTACACGGCTATTCAATTACACGCTATCTAGCATCTCTAACCCAGAATTGCAGTCTCTGTCCTTCAAGGCTTTGGAACAAATCAGGTCCACCACTCTCCTGAACTCTCAATAGAACTTACTTATGTCTATGTTCAGTGTGGGGCAAACCCTTCCCCCTCTTTATGGCCATTGATCCTGAGTGTTACTGAGCCCCCTTACTCCCATTAGGCCTGACATGCCTATTGCTTGCCCAGCTTTCCATTTAGGTATTGCCAGTTACTCCAGTGGAGTTCATGCTGTTTTATAACAAGAGGAGGAAGAGGTAAATTTGGTCTGTTAACTTGAAAAGGAGGTGCAGTGAGGAGCCAATTCCATTCCAAGGCCTCAGCTTGAAAATGTTTTAAGTTATGTGGACTTACACGCATTCTTAAATGCTTTGTTGAATAGCTGTGGGCTTAGCAGATGTCTAAAGCTTTGCTGAATCCGGGCCTAAACCCATATTTTCAGCCATGTACAACTTCCCAAGTCATGGTCATTTGGTGATGACTCTTCATTGTTGATCCACAGTTGGATTCTTCTAGGAAAGCCACAAAAAAACCTATTTGGCCATTCTGAGTTTATCGAAGCATTAAAAAAGTGTCTAGAATAACTCAAAAAGAACTTGGTTTGAAAGGATCAGGCCAGACATGTGCATAGACCACAGAAAGGGATGTGGATTTTGCTTAGTTTAACAGGAACGTGATTTGGAAATAGTAATTCTCGAAATGATCTGAAATAGGGAACTGGTTCTTGTTACTAAAACAAGCACACACCGAGCTACCATTTATGCAGGTGGAATGCAGGCCCCGATGTCTGGAGGCAAGAATGGCTGCCACGGCGGGGGATGCATTGCAACCAGGAATACTGCCCCAAGGCTGGGAGAAGGGATGTTGTGCCTCTATTCACCAGAGCAGTTGTCACACAGGGTATGTCTACACTAGCTCGTTAGTTCGAGCTAGGTAGGCAAATGAGGGCAACCGGGGTTGCAAATGAAGCCCGGGATTTAAATATCCCAGGCTTCATTTGCATCTTCCTGGGCGCCACCATTTTTAAATCCCCCTTAGTCTGAACTCCGTGCCCACGGCTACACGCGGCAAGGAGTAGGTAATGCGAATTAGGATCTCTAATTCGAACTACTTGTACACCTCGTTCCACTGGTACCCCAAGCAGTCCTCTGCCTGTGGCTCACAGTGGGCGGAATGTTGCTCCAGCCTTGTGGGGGCCAGGAGCAGAAGCTGTCCTCCCTGCGCTTGGGGCTGCTGGCTTCTGCTGCTCGCCCCCTCTCCTCCACGTGCAGGAGGGGGCTGGCAGCGGTAGCCCCATGCATGGGGGAGGGAGAAGCTGGAGCAGAAGCCACCTCCCTATGCTTGGAGCTGCTGGCCCCTGCTTCTCCCTCCACCTCCACGTGGGATCCCTTGTCATCAATTAAGTGGTTAAGCCTGAGATTAAACAGGATTTTACAGCCATAATGAGTATGTTACAATATGACATCTGTGCATCTTATTGGTTAAATTTGGCCCCAGAATAATCTGAAAGGCTCAGCAGTGTGTAAGTGAAAATCTGACTTCATGAGTCTGTTTCTCTTCTTTCCCAAATCACATGCACAAAACAGGTTTATGTGCACCTCCCTACTGGTGCTATTAAAATGTTTGGCTACTTTCAAGGACAAAGTTGCAGTTTTACAGAGATACATATCGTAACCCCCAGGCTTAACATACTTTCAACTGAATGCTGTAGTTATCACTGGGATGCCAGTTACCTGAAAAGGTGATATTTGTAAAGATTTGAATACTGGCGAGTGCCAGTGTCCACTTGTCAGGAAAACTGTCTCTGTTTTATGGCCGCAATATAGGACTTATATGTGTAAAAGCTGCCCAGCTGCATTTTGCAGGAATACTTTAATCAGTCAGTTATAAAAATGTGGGTCTTGGGGGCAGGAGGGATTGAAAGTACAGAGGGTGGTAAACTATCTTATCTTGAAGGTGGGGGGGGGGACGAAGTTATACATGTATCCTTTCCTTCAATTAATCTCTCTTGGTTATGAAAGTCTATCATAAACTAGTTGTCATGACTGCACTTAGGACTTCTACATTATTAGAGTAAAAAACACATTATCACATCCCTATTATGCAATTTTATTGGAAATGTGCCTTGATACTGGTGGAGCAAAACAAGCCCTGCAGGTCAGAAGAAAAAAACAAGTAAAGAAAAATTTCTGATCAAGGGGTTAGAAATTTCAAGGTTCAACAGTAAACAACATTGCTAACAATCAAGAGCTCACTGACATTGTGCAGATTAAGATTCCTCCACACCAAAATCTTCCTTTCCAAGTTCAAGCTGTTTATTAATGTAACAACTATCAATATATCATTTAAAAAAGCCATCTAAATGTCATGTCAAGTCACAATCAGTACTGAACCTTAGGTTGTATCCTCAGATCCTACCGTGGTTAAACAGCTTGTTACCTTAATAAATGATATCCAAAAGCCCCTGCTTCTATTCCCAGTTGTGCACTGCACAGCACAGCTGACTCTTGCCTCCCCCCTGCCACGCTGGCGATTCCCCCCCAATTTCTCTCACAGCCTCCTCTCCCCACAGACCAAAGAGAGCCAAACCCTCCCCTGCGTTCCTGGCAGGAGAGTGTTTGCTGTTGGGAGCTGGGCAGTCTCTTTGCTCAGTGGGGCTGTAGCTATGTGAGCACTCCATGCTGAGCAATTTCCAAACTTCCTGGGCATTGAAAGAGGAGGGGTGCATGCCATGTAGCTGCATGCAGGGCCATAGAGTCCAAAACAGTGAGCAGAGTGGTCACAGTGAGCATTGTGGGATATCTCCAGGAGCTTAGTTAAGGCAGTGTGAGGATCACAGTGTTGACAGTGATACAACGTTACTCTAACTGTGTTGGGAGAAGCTCTGTGCCTCTTGCGGAGATGGCTTTATTTTGTCAGCATAGCAGGAGGTTTAAATCAGTGTGTACACTTCCACTGTTCTGTTGACAAAGCCATGAGTTGTAGACAAGGCCATTGTCTGCTGCTAACTCTGGGTATGTCTACACAGCAAAGTTATTTAAAAATAACAGCCGTTATTTCGAAATAACGTTACCAGCGTCTACACAGCCAAACCGCTATTTCGAAATTAAATCAAAATAGCAGAGGGCTTATTTCAAAATTGGTAAACCTCATTCCACGAGGAATAGCACCAATTTTGAAATTGCTATTTTGAAATAAACGCTGTGTAGACACTTATTTCGAAATACGGGGCCTCCAGCCCTTCCCAGGGTGCCACTCTGGGCACAACCAAGAAAACTTCACCCCCTCGCCCGAGCCTTTAAAGGGATAGACTCTGACCACAGTGCCTGTGCCAGCTCCAAGCCTGCCAGCCCAGAGCCAGCAGTCACTGCACCTGACCCAGTGACTCCAGCATGAGCCAGGCAGCCAGTATCAGCCAGCCCTCCACCGCTCCCCAGGACCAGTCTGCCAGCTCCCAGGAGCCTTCCAGGGGCCAGAAAAGGCAGGCACCTGCCTGGTTCAGTGTGGAGATCAGGGACCTAATTCAGGTTTGGGGGATGCCTCCAACGTCCATGATCTCTGCACTAAACAGAGGAATGCAACCGTCTATAGGCAGATGGCTGCCAGCCTGGCCAGCAAAGGCCACATGTTAACCCAGGAGCGGGTTCGCATGAAAATAAAGGAGCTGTGCCAGGCATATGCCAGGGGCAAGGGGGAAGCTCCCAACCAGAGGCAGACCCAGACCCCTGCTCCTATTTTGATGCTATGGACCACATCCTGGGGGGCAGGATGGTCCGTGCCCCCTTAGATGGTCATCGACCCTGGGACAGAGCTTGCTACCTCCTGCTGCTCCAGCCCCTGCTGCCTCCCCAGTTACCGCTCCTCCTCCCACTCCTTCTTCCCCTCCCCCTTTTTCCTCCTCAGCCCCCCAGGGATGCCGAGACCCCCACACCAATGGTGCAGTGAGACCCCCAATCCTGAGCCTGAACGTCTCCTCCCCCTTCCTCCCCTTGGCTCCCCGTGACGCTCCCGGTGCGTCATCCATTCCGCGTAACAACGCCTCCGGGGTTTTCTCCCCGAAATACTCCCTTTTTATCTATTCTCAACCCTTCTGGGGGAAGGGCAGGAAAGGGGGGCCCGGGCCCACCCCCTCTCACGGGCACCAGCCCAGGGCCCTAAGGACTCGGATCCCACGAGATCCGGTCCGGCTGACGGGGTTTGAGACCGTAACTCGTCAGTGCACCAGCCAACTCCGGGCTCCGCCCATGGCCACTTCCTTCCTCGCCCCTCTTGACGTGGTCCCCCCGTCCACCGTGGGGTGTCGCATCACTTACGGCATGTTTGGGGTCCTGGAGAGCAGGCA